CCACGCGCTGCGCTGCAGTGGGCGTCGAGCTCGCGCTACGCCCGCCGCCCACGCCGCCGGCCCACGCGCCGGCGCGCCCACGCCCGACGGGAACAAGGATTTTAGATTATCTACCGTGATGTCGTATGCGTTCAGATAAATCATTTAATCTGCTTATCACAAAATATAAACTATACGTACGAAACAACTAATATGAAAAACGTTTTCATAGCTTCATGTGCAATTTGGCAATAATTAATTTTTAATTTTCATTTTAATTCTCAACGGTTACATAGTGACTGCCGATCGCAAGTAAAGACTGATTTATCGAGTGGCTAACTTTTTCCCGCAGTTCCGCCCGCATAAACAGAAAATTAATTCCTTTGTCTTGTATATCGTCCCACCACGAAATCAAGATCCCGAACGTCATCGCGTTCTCGATTCTGATCCCGGTCCTGCTCTCGATGTCGATTTCTTTCATTCTCGATTCCGATTGCTGTCCTGTTTTTTAATTCGACTCCGGTCTCTATCTAAACAGATTCTGATTCCATCCTAGATTCCGGTGCTTCTTTAAATTTTGATCTCAATACTGCTTCTCATTCCGTTTCCGGTCACGCTCTTTATACTAATTTTAATCGCACGCTTGATTGTGGTCTCGTTTTCAATTTCGATATCGGTCTCGGCTTTCAATTATAGTTCTCGTCCTGTGTGTGATTTCGATTCTGCTACCGGTCACAGTTCCGATTTTCGACGAAGACGTAGCAAATACTGGTAATATCGAAAGATCAAAATATAATTTGTGCTGTAGTACTCGATGATTGTGTAGCTTTTCCACGAGAAAAAAAATTTCAGAATATTTTGTGGCAGAAATATGAAGATGAAGCCAAATATTTTTCGTTCGTGCGTACAAATAGCCGGTTTCATAGTAAGCGAATAAATGGTTGAAAACGCAAAAAACGTACAAAACACATATTTTGCATACAACATTTTATCCTTTATTTCGCCCCTTTAGAACTACTTTTTTAAAAACAATATATATCATTATTCTTCATTTGCAATTAGTAATTAAAATACAAATTTGGGATCAATAGCTTCTAGGGTTTCCTTTTTCTAATAGAAATTTAAACCCTTATTTCCCCCCCACCAGAGTTATTCAAAACAAAAACTGGCCAAGAGCATGTCGGACCATGCTCATTATAGGGTTCCGAAGCCAATATTACGAGGGCTGCTATTTATGTGTACGAAGTATCAAAAAAGAAACAAACATCTATCATTAAATACGGTTTTATTGCTTTTCAAATTATTCGCCATGATTGAGGCATTTTTGCATTGGCTGACAACAATTTTTATAGCACTTTTTTCATTCTGATTGAAGTATCTCCAAAACGGTGTCAACGGCCTTTTCGTGGCTTGAAAAACGTTGACCACGTAATTTATTCTTCGCGCTTGGGAATAAATACAAATCGTTGGGTGCCAAATCAAGGCTGTACGGCGAATAGTCAATTCGATCTTTTAACTTTACAAAAACCGAATTGTTTCGGTCAACGTGTGACAGCTAGCAATGTCATGATGAAGAACGATTCTACGTTGTCGGTTGTTTCTTGTTTCGTCAAAGACTTGTGAAAAGCAAATGATCTTGTTACACTCCCTATTAACTGTTTTACAATCCTCTAGTGGCAATATAACCACAAGTTTATTTATACCAAAAAAACAGACAACCATTTGCTTCAAAGTTCTTTTGGCACGGAACACTGGTTGGGTTCGGCTCAACTTGAAACACCCATAGAATATATTCAAGAATCATCACTTGTATAGATATTATAAACAGCTTTTGGCGCACCATGAATGTTTTTTGTTTATTATTTTTTTGCCCCAATCGACACAAGCCTGTTTTTGATTACTACTGAAGTTGGATGGAATCCGATGCAAACAATTTTTTTTACAGACAAATTTTCATGTAAAATCTTATCTCATAATGTTTAATATAATGCTTTTACTTCGCGATATGTAACATGACGATCTTGCATTATTAGTTCCCGCACAGCATCGATATTTATGATACAACAATCGATTTAGGGCAACCTTCTTTAAATTCATCTGTGGGCATAGACTGCTCACGATTAAACTCATAAACCAGTGTTGCTCAGTGGTTTTTGACGGTGCTTCAACCCCAAAAGTCGAAGTGAGTTAATCGATACAATGTTTTTGAGTTAATCCATGCTGAATATCGTAAAAAATCATAGCACGAAAATTTTCATTAGTTAAATCCATGTGATAAAGGCACGCAATTTTCACAATGACTCCCCAATGATGAAACAATTGACAGTTGCTGTATTCTGCAGCCAAAGAGTTCCATTTTCAAATGATTTAATTACTTTTTAAATATTGTTCTGTATGTGGCCAGTTCCGGATACATAAATAGCAGCCTTCGTACAAAGAAATACACTACAAATGAAAAAGTATGTTGTTACGTTTTTTCCATATTCCCCGTACTGAATATTTATAAACACTTTAGTCGCCTATAACTAGAAAAACAAGTAGGTATGTCGACTACTACTATTAAACTAGGGTAAACTAAAGCGCATCAGCAAAAGAGCGTCTTCTCGTGGCACTTACGTCCTTTTGTTGAAAAGCGCAGTTTTGCACAATAACTCGAAAAGAGTCTCAAAATAATTTTCGTTGAAAGTTTTTATTAAGCGTTACCTTCGTTACTTTTTCATATTTTTGGATATGTGATTTAGAAAATAGAGGAAGGGGGGACAATTTCTGCCAATTTCGGAACGGTTACTTTCAAAATTGTGTACGTAATCACAAAAATTGCTTAGAAACCTTTGAGTATTTTTAAGAAAACTGTCAAAATATGTACCACTAGTTGATGTTTGCTAAAAAAATTTTTTTTTAACTTTTGTTACATGTATGGTGTGCACCCCTAAAAACATTTATTTTTGTTATTCAATCACCAAACTAAGTAGCGGTTTATACAAAACACCTCACTTTAAATTTAATTAACATGCGTCTTGTAGTTTTTGAATGAAATGCCTGTGACATGTAGGCGGATGGACGGACGAACATGACGAAAATATAACGGTTCCGTTTTTGCCATTTCGGCTCGGAACCCTAAATAGGATGTATGTTATTGTTTTTAATAGTAATTAATAATTAGCTAAAATATAGTTTGACATAAGTAGCGTTAGCGGTTTCAATTTTCCATACAACCTCATACCTTTTATTTTAACCTCCTCAGGATCGTTAAAAAAAAACAGTGCATATAATTAGTTTTTCTTTCTGTAGGTAACTAAAATGTTGAGTTTCAAATCTATAGCTCCACGGTTCCAATTTTTAATACAACAGTATTTCACCCTTTTCGCCATCCTAAATGGTGAATTTGAAAAAAATCCATTAACAGGTTCGCCTACGTCATAACACGAACCTCTGTACGAAATTTCAAGTGTCTGTACTCGGTAGTTTGGTCTGTGCGTTGTTATGTCAGTAAGTTTACTTTTTTATATACATATATTTTATATACAATCATGGTCATTACAGAAAAAGATATATTTCATATGTTTATTTTTGAAAATAAAGTAAACCACTTTGTGTATTTCTTCTTACTTTAAAATCGATATGGAAAAAAAAACGTGTGAGGTGTCAGAGACACCCGCTTGGAACGAAGTTCCTTTCCTATATAAGTAAATTTATTTTATGAATTGAATAACAACAATGAAATTAATTAAAACGTTTGAAAGTAATGAAATAAATAATAATTGAAATAAGTGAATAAATAGTAAGAAATATTTGTGATTTCTAAATAAAGTTTTTTTTATAAGTAATTAGCTGACCCGGCAGACGTAGTTTTGCCCTTTTTTGTGGGTGGCTTGGCCATATAGTTAATATAGCAGCTCCAATAACAAGGAAATCGAATCTCAAGCCCACACTCAATTTTGACCCCGGTCTTGTTTGCAATATTGAGCCCGGTCCTAGCTCTGGATTCCGTTCCCCGTCCCGTTTTCAATTTTGATAGGGCTACCAACATGAGTCTTAAAGTATAGTAATAATTTTAAATTAAATGTGGTGCCAATTGGTAAGCGACATTTTTGTCAATCCGTCTTATACCGATTAAGGGACGAGGGTCTACGGAAATTGAAATTTGTATATATGTGTATTTTTGAATGAGAAATCTAGAAAAAAAATAATGAAAATAAAGTACTTGACAACCATGCCACCTATGAGAATATAAACTATTTTATCTCTTTCAAATTGGACCAAATTACACATAAATGCCGAGTTTTATGAAGATCGGTTAAGTTGTTTTAGAGTTCATCGTGGACAAACATCGTGTCTCTGGATTTTTATATATAAAGATTACTCGAATGAAAATATATGTACGTGCTCGTGTCAACATAATCGGTGTTATGAAATTGACAGCGGATGGACCGCAGAACTGTGATAGATCAAAAAAATTACACAAAAAAAATATGTTTATTTGATCGCTACCAAATTTTACAGGATTACCCGCTAGGCCAATCTAAAGATTATCTGAAAATTTCATCAAAATCGGTTCAGCAGTTTCGGAGTCCCTAGGGAACATACATACATACACATCGACTTTTATATATGTAAATTAAAATTCTTAACAAGAAGCACTAAACAATACGATCTGTTTTATTTTTAAAGACTTTGTTATGTTCGTCAATTTGCACAATATGAAATTATGAAATCAATAATAGATTCATATTTATAAATAATTACAAATATTTGTAATGTATTTACTTACTAAAAATTTAAAATTGAATACTCTCCAGAACTAAACAATCCAAAACTTTCACTTAATATTTTAGGAAAAAAAAAGGAGATTATAAATTATATACAAGCAATGAAATAAATTACAAACCTTTTAAAGTAATTAAACGAAAAATACAACAAAACTAATGGAGGAATGGTAATGAAATATTATAAATCAAATTATAAATAATATTAACTTAATATAAATTACCATAAAAAGAATGCAACACCAAAAAAGCCATCATCACGTGATATTCCCAGGCGGTCGGTCACCCATCTAAATTCAGACCGAGCCCGACGCTGCTTAACTTCGGTGATCGGACGAGAACCGGTGTATTCAGCGTGGTATGAACGTTGGCGAAAAAGTTTATAAAAATGTTAACGAATGCAACAGCGGTCAGCATTTTTCGTTGCGATTAAACTTTTTATCGTGTAGCTCCCGTCCACCGAGCGCCTGGTGTAACGTGCGATGAGAAACATCGTTCCAAAAAATTTACTTACATGTTTATCTATTTATATCTCCAACACATACCTATAAATCGTAAAAGAGTAAATACTCGTATGAATTGAAGATGTAAAAGCAATTATAATTGGAGAATCACAACAAACGAATAGGTCTCAAAGTATGTGTCATATCAATCAATTATTAATAGTCCCTATCGCCTGTATGGGAAATTTAAAAATAATATGGTTTTAAACGTTTTCCTAACAGTGCAGAAAATTTTGAATTTTTTATTATAAATTTAGAAATAACTAAAACTAAGCTTTTAAATTATTAATTTCTTGGTTTACGTCTGTAACTGTCAACTAATAGTCGGAACATAATAATTATGCCTCAACCGATAACCGGTGTGTTGCGCGTGCACATCTCGGCTGTGGCGGGCCTTAAGACAACGAATACCCATTCGATACCGCCCTAGAACGCGGTATTATTAAAGGCGAGTCGAACGGTCGGAAGGCCGCTCTCGGCATCAATCTTGTCAGATTTACGGCGGGCTGAGCGTCAAGTTTATCTGGCGACCCGCGGCCGGCGCCCGCGCCCCGCGATAACCGGCCGGCAACCCGAAGGGCGCGCCCCGAGCCCGCGCCCCCCGGCCCCCGCCGCCCGCTACTCGACGCAGCGACCCTATCTACGGCAATAACTTCTTTTTTGCGCTATTGATAATAATCCGACTACAATACGGCCGGTTCGCCAGCGATTATGTTATGAGTAGATAAGGCTACACTCAGCCTTTTCAATTTAGTATTATCATATTTTTTAAAAGAAAACGTAGTCAACTTTTATAGCATTTCAAATGTTGAACTTAATTAAGATACCGAGTATTTTCAGGGGAAAACAAAGTCAGTGTTTTACAAAATACAACTAAATGTAGAATAATATAATAATATTAACTTTCGGCCGCGAGTTCACCCACATAAAGAGAATCGTGATTGAGATTACAAAGCTTTATTAACAACTCCATCCTGAATTTGATCGATGATATACCGATTTTGATCCTACTTTCAACTCCGATTTTCGTCTGCTTTTTCTCGCTACTCTCTCTCTCTCTCTCTCTCTTTCTCATTCTGTTCCTGTCTCCCGTTAATCTGTACCATACCTAAAGGTTTAAGCTATCTCCATACCAAATCTGATCAAAACAAATATGATGGTAGATCTGTGAAAACGTGACACGTAAACAGACAGTTTGAAAATATCTACAGACAGTTTGAATATATAATTTGAAAATATTACATTTACAATATTAGTACACATTGTTCTACAACTGAAAAAATTGCCGTTTATTTACTGTGCAAGGCTACGACGAGCAAACGCAATTTAAAACAAAAAATAAAACGTGATTAAAAATTTTACAATAATGGTCAAAAACGTTAGTGCCATGGCTCAATATCACACGAGCGTCCTATCGCGGGATGTTACTGGACGTTCATAGTGTAGATAGTTCCTTTTTGACCTCACAATAATTGATAATATTAAAGTATTTACATAATTGTAAAAAAGTATACCCTTTAAAAAAAACGATATATTTTCATCATAATTCTCTAAGAAAAGAGAAGTGAAATTTTCACGTCTATGAAACCAATATCTTATTAACAGTATAGACGATAATCAACAATTACTGTAAGTTATATCAGTCAGCTGTTTATTCATCCCATTGCTAGGGCAAATCCTCACGCAGTCTTCTTATTTCCGAACGAGGGTCTCGAACATCAATCTCACCACGCTGCGCCGGAGCGAGTTGGGGATCTCTAACGGCTCCTTCACCACTGCGTTGACAGCATCCAGGACGGACGGCTCAACGTGCTCTCCTGCGCACGAAACCAGCGGTTCAATCGGACTAGGTTGAAAACTCATCGATTGATTCGCCATCTGTCAGGATCAAACCCGGTGACTTGCGGCGCGAAGCCGACGCTCTCGACGATGAAAGTGGTGCTCCTACAGAATTGCACCAGAATTTAACCTATAGAATTGAACTTACCGCAATTTCGTTCGAGTGCCCGCTCTAGTTGAGACGCTCCGATAGTCAGTCCGCTTTAACTTAACGTCGCAATCGGAAACAAAGTAGCGACACGATATTTTACTACGGCCGCCGCGTTTCAACTCGTGCTCGATGGACCGCCGCCGAAGTCATTTTATTAAATTCACAGTGCGAAATGGGAATCGAGATTGCAAAATGGTTTTATTACTTTTGTAATTGAACATGATTTAAACAAAGTGTTTACGTCGATGAAAATAATAATACATTAATAAAATCCAAATTATATAAAGAAAAAAATTCCTTTACATATAAAAAGTATTATTGGGATCTGGATTCTATATAGTCTCATAATTTTTGCTTTAATTTTCGAAGACCATCGATTGTATCGACTCAATATTTACTATTGATTGCATAATTTCATTAAAATTAAAATTGTACTGAATAATTTCATTAATTCTTTTTATTTATAATTAAAAGCATTTACAATCTCGTTTATATTTTCCCTGATGTTCTCTATTTAGAAAAAACGTACGTTTATTTATGTATATCTTAAACGTTGCCAGAAATGTGAAATTACTCTTTCAATTTGTATCAGAAATACCTCTTTCAGACCTACTTGAGCAGTCTAAAACGCATTCCATTTTCAGCTGAATTCCCCGATGGTTTCAAATTTTGTAAAAGCAAAATTATAAATATTCACACATTCGTTTTAATGACTAACGTGTCTTTCGTATTCATTGCGGTTCATAGCCAGTTGTATTGAAATTAGCTGCAATTCCTTTATAAAACAAATTATAATACTTAAGCTTACTTCCAAAAGAGCGCTAAAAGTTTAACTTTTACTACTGCACCGTACTGCAATAATATCGTAGATAAAATCACCGAATTTGCACTACCGCTGGCCGATACAGTTGTCCTATAAAAGTTATAAATTAAAGGATATTTTATCATTGGCGTGTGTAACTGTAATTCTAACTTGATTTAGAAGTGATTACGCCATAGCGCTTACATATGGGCTCAAACGTCACAAAAGTAGATGTTTTTTAACAAACGAATATTTATTAATTACTGTAATAAAAGTGCGTGAGGCATTAAATTAAGTGCTCTACTTTAGATTTAATTATTTGGCAATGGAGAAAATGTACATTTTTAAGGGAAAATGTTTATTTGAAATGAGAGTATCCCTATGAACTATACTAACAAAATAAATAAAAAATAATGAAATAGACCAACCAAAAATTAATAACAAAAAAGGGCACCACTTGTTTATAATGAAAATTTGGCCACGAGTCGTTTAGAATATTTGAAAACTGATTAACCGAACTATTCATGAAATGTTTAGTTATGACTTCGTTTAGCAATGAATATGCTATATTTATAATTTTGTTTATAACTAAGGATAATCCTTTGAAGAATTGAGAGGCATCCTCAAATACATATAGCAATTTTAATTGAGACTATAAGTCAAGCATTTGCATTTAGAATGTATCATTTAGGTATGTGGAACTGATGAAGAAGACCGCGATGGCCACCGGAACTCCTAAGCTATAATATCGTTAATTTTGGACCAATTTCGAAAGCAAATTTTTTTTTTTTTGAAAGAGTATACTCCCGAGATTGTCCCATAGTCACCAAGACAGGATCTGGTGAAGGCATCCCAAGAAAATCGAGGCATACCCTCAAATATTATAGGCACATATAGCGTGTCTGAGCTCTTTTTTCTTAGTTATTCAAGTTTTTGCGTATGTTAATAATCATGTCATGCCGCTGAGCTGATGATAGAAGCCACGGCACTACTTAACGGTAAGAAATTAGGGGTTAATACTACGATTTTTAGTTAGAATTACCCTTCAATGGCAGTAGGACCCAGCATATATAGAATGAAGATTAATTACGTATTAACCTACCTACATATATTTATTCATTTATGTAACCAATCCAACGTGACAATTTTAGCAGGAAACACATCGGAACTTTTTAACAGTATAACAGTAGAAATACGGTGAAGTTATTTAATGTTATCGGTATAAATTGAAGAACTTTTATATTATAAAGAATAAGAATAATTTATATAGTTTGTATAAGAATAATTTGATGGTTGCATTCCAACTAAGAATGTAAAGACCCTGGAATGATTGCCAATGGACGAAAAATCAAGATGAGAACTGCTTTTTCGTTCGTTCAGTGTAAAAGCAAAGGTGATGCCTGGCCATTTTTTTTAAACCATAGCGTAATTCACATGCAAAGTAGTTAAATTAATTATAATGTTATAATTATTTGAAAACAAAAAAATGTTAAATACGGTAAATTAAAAAAAAAAAATTAAAACCGCCTTCAAGGAGGTACTTAAATAATTTAAGAAAATGGTTCCAAAAACATCTAATTAGTTGTTTTTGGAGTCAGATCTAGCTAAAGCAGAGCAAAAGAACATATAATGTATAAACATGAATATGAAACCTTAATTAACTAATCAAAAAGGAGATCTTCTTCTAACGAGACATAATTGTTTCTGATTCATCTTTCGCTGGAACCAAAAAATGCTAATTAGTTTTTTTTCAAATCTGTTTAAAAAATTATTTAAATATATTTTGCGAGGCGGTTTTTTTTTTAATTAAAATCATCTATTCATAAACTACAACGTTGTCAAGGAACAATGCAGCGAATAAATGTGATTTCGGCTATCTAACAGCATAATGACTTTAGGAATTATAAAACAGCTTAATTTAAAAACTTTAATCTAAATCCTTGCAACGTTATTGATAAATACTACAAAAATACGAATAATTATTTAATATTACAAAATCCGCGGGGCGGGATCAGTTGTCCCAATACATTTTTTTTTAAGTTCCATTCGTACATTATTTTCAAAGCTCTCATT